GCTAATTGCAATCACAACCAAAATGTAAATAAAAACAACCAGGGGCAGCTACATTATTGCAAGCTAACATATTTACAAAATTAATACTGTTAAATACTGTGAAATTATATCAAATAAACGCAATCGAATGGTATATAGTATATTTAAATCCTAGTACAAAAATATATTTATAAAATAGAAATGAATGTTTTTCAGATCCATTTGCTTGAAAGTTTGAAAAAAAGATTGATGTCGATTGAGAGACGTGGGGGGGGGGCTTTACTAATATTGATAATAATATTGAGGGCTGTCAAAATAATAGGAGAACACGCAGCTTGCACTGTAATGATTTACTGCCTTTGATTGATGGTCCTGGTGTGACACTGGATAATATACGCCTGACTTTGCATGTATTATAATGCATGGGTGTCCAATAAGTAGATTGCGACCAGCCAGTCTATAGTATGTACTGTTTATATGAGTAAATATGCAGTAAATAAGGTAGATCACCTTAGCCTGGTCATGGACAGTAGCTCCAGAACCAAAAAAAAAAAACAGTGGAGACCACTGATATATATGTATGTATAACAATATTATATATAATATGGTGTAGATATAGTGTATCTGCTTGATACAGTAAACGTATTGATGACATAACCTTTGAAAGTAAAATAATCAGGGCATTTACAGCCTACATTTATTCAGACATTGGTCACAAAGGCTACAGATGCTAGTTTTGGTTATAGAAACATGGCTTTTATAGAGAATTGCTGAGTCATAACCATTAAATTAGACCCGACCCCTTGGGACTACGCTAAGTACCAATGCTGTTGTACTGATACAGTGGTGTTTCTAAAGTTTATTTATGAACTATAATGACTTTTCTTAGTAGTTGTTTTTTTTTTAACCTCCTTTTAACCCGAGGTCTGTGCTAAGACTGGGCGTTACTGTTGGGATCCTGACGCTGGGGCAGTGTTTACTTGTTGGTGCTCCAGTTTCAGCAGCAGTCTGCTGTTCAGCTGTTTGAGGGCCGTGTTCTCCACGTCCGAAGCCTCCAGCCTCTGCTGTAGCCCCAGCGTGGCGCTGCGGTACACCTGGTCCCAGTCGTCGTTCAGCTTCATCAGCTGAAACATACAATCACAAGCATCTAAATGGCCGCCGTTACCATAACTGTCAGGGGGTGAAATCAGGTCAAATGTGTGATTTTTTTGTTTTTTTTTTTTTGGTGACAGTTTATTCTACTTTTTAATTAATTAATTATTTTTATTAATGGGGGAGGAATTCTGAAACAAGGTTGGATGATTGTTTTTTTTTTTTTGCAGTTTAGCAGCAGTTTTCACACAAACGCCCACAGCTCACTCTGGTCTGCAGCAGCCAGCTGATGATTGTACCTCTTTGTTGACTCTGCGCAGCTCTGTGTTCTTGTTGAGCAGCAGCACCTTCTCCTGGTCAGTGGAGGACACCGTCATACTCTCAGTGATCAAAGTGACCTGTTCCTCTGTGGACAGCAGCCTGTCCCCCACAGGACCCGCGACCCCTGTCCTGCAAACACACACACGCACGCACACGTGGGACCGGTGCCGTAAATAACAGCCATGATGGAGAACATTAGTAGAGGATTTCCAATAAAAAGAGAACTCGTGTACGCACGAAATACTGACAGGTACTTGTTCACACCCACTCGCATAGAGTGCACTTAGAGAGAATCGAGTTATTATGCACACCCACGCACGTACATGCATGCTCTGTCAGAATTATGCAGTCAAGATACTCGGAGAGATAGAGAGAAAAAGAAACAAAACGAGAGAGAACGCGTTTCAATTGGACAATAATAGGCTTTGTAATAATATTAATATTATTATATTAAAACAACAATAATAACAATAATAATTTTAATAATTGATGATTATTGTTGTTCTAATAATAAAATAATAACACTAATAATAATTATTATTAATAATAATTATTATTATTAGGTGAAAGATACAGTTTAGTTTTGACAGCCCTAATAATAATATTTATTTATATTTATTATTATTATTAATAATATTTATTATTATTATTATTAAGGCTGTCAAAATTAACTTGTTAATCTTAATCTAAATTAATTTCTTAATTAATCTTAATTTGTGAAATTAATCAGATTTAAAATGTTACTGCATCTTTAACCCTCGTACAGGACACAGTAGTTCCACCGTCTAGTTATATTTGCTGTAATACACAGTAATAGTATTAGTATTTGTGTCATTTAAATACTGATTCAACAACTGACATTTTCCCATATCAATAATTCCATCATTAGAATTAGTCAACACCTGCAGCTACGACTGCAGCTACGACTGCAGCTACGACTGCACCTACCACTTCCTGTTGTTGCTTCTCCTTCTCTTTGATCAGTTACGATTAATTGTAATTGCTCATGATTAATCGACCACAACGCTGTGATGGATGGATTTAAGATTTAAAAATAAAATCCTCCTACAGCCCTAAAAGCAGTTTACTATCACACACTGTCACTACTTCTCCTAATACTGTACAGTATTTCTCACCTGCTTCACTGTCCACTGTGTCCGTCTCAGTGCAGGTAATTAGAACCAGTTTTCTCTTTTATCAGACCAGGGTTTGTTTAAAGTCTTGTCTAAATGGAATCTCTGACAGACAGACAGTAGAGGTCTCCAAATGGAGGGGGTAGAGCGAGGTGTGGGGGGGTAGCTCATGTGAGATCACAGATATCAGCATGTCTAGCTGATAGCGATGCTTCACACAAATGTACTGCAGTAACCTCAGGGAGCTTAGAGCATCACAACCACATGACCTCTGACCCCTCAGGCTTTCAGCGGCAACACACGCTGTCTTCCACTTTCACAGCATCCTGATGTGGTTCCACCGGTGTTACACCACATCAGACGGCTGTGCTTCACAGAGTCGGGCCCTTCAGAAAGACGGTTTTTGTTTTGTTTTTATAAAACCCCAAAAAGGTTATTCCAAGTGCAGTTCCCCCGCTGTCCAGCAGGGTGTGGCCATATTCCTTTACTCATCTTCTACCACTGAATCCTCCTCAGGGCTGTGGGGAGGGCTGGGAGTAGAGTGAATAGTTAACTTAATCCAAATCTGTATGTTTTTTGGCTGCGGACGGAAACTCATGCACACTTACAGAGGAAATGCAGACTCAGCACAGTCTGGTTTCGTAACCCTGGACTCCAGGAGGCGTCCTTTCAACATCCACCATCGTATCTCATTAAAAACCCATTCATTGAATTTTTGGTCACTTATCAAATTGGTGTAGATTAGACCCAGAGCTGCTTCTCGACACTATTCTGAAGGTCCATTTGGACTGAATGTCATATTTGATGAGATAATGAAGCTCTAAAAAGTCGTCATCAGAGATGTGGTTAGATGATCAATTAGCTGAGCCGTCTCCTGGAGAATAGCGCAAATCGACTCCATTTCTTTTTCTTTGTAAGTGGGGTGGAGCTATCAAAATTAATTAAGACATCAATTCAGCTTCATTCTAAATGACTGTCTCCAAATGACTGACTCATCCACACTGAACCAGCAGGTCTGCAGTAAAGAGCCAAGGCAGACGCCAAAATGGGGCTGAGCCTTCATGCAGTGGCCAGTTTGGCCACAAGCTGTCAGCGGACGCTCCAAACGTCCCATCCTTTTGTCTCGGCTCCTCGACGGCCGCTCTCTGAGGACACCGTCATTCCCACGGTGTCCCTGATTCCGTGACAGCCGATACAAATGCTCTGTGACCCACTGCAGTATAGTTGTCAATCACGAGAGGGAAGTGTAAAATTCCACTGTGTCCTGAGTCAATATGCTAATCCACCGAGAAGTATCATGTTCACTGCGTGTGTAGTTGTCAGAAAAGAAGAACTTGAGATTTTGTTTTTAAAACTGACACATTAGTCTGCTGTGATGCAAATAATAATAAAAAAAACTAAATAAAGATTTAGAACCTCTGGATTTACACACAGCTGTTAAACAATCCTGAACGTTAAGTTTCTGTGCCTTTACCTTTAGATGCTAATGAGCCTCTGTGTACTCTGCCCACTTAGTCCTTCCATGTAACCATGGCAACGACTTGTGATGCTTGGCAGATTCTGACTGACACATGCGTGGTACAGTAGTGTATTCCATTCTGACAGGTATGGCAAAGTGGCAGGACGCCTATGTTTGAGCCAAAGTCGGACCCAGATCGAGATAAAGTTCCAGAAGGAAAAAAGAGTGAACTTGGATGTTTTCTGTTGTTACAGAGCTGTGCTGAGCATTTGGTCCAGTATTTAAATATGAGTAAAGGAAATAACACATCCTCAGACAGTAGGAGAGGTAGCATGGGCGCACCTACACAGTTGGAGGCCCCCGAAATAATCCTGTGATGTAATGGCTCGTTTTGATACACAATTACAGATTATGAAACTTAAATCTACTACTGTATGTTGTCGAAACGTGTACTTTGAGTAGACGGAAACTCCAGAGGTGTAAATATGTGTACTAAAAAACCCAGATGACGTCCGTTTGTCATAATATGTTCATCGTTCTGCTATATTAACATCGTGGTTTTGATCTGTTTTCAATTTTGAAACTATCACGACCTATTCGAAAACTTCACAATTTTGTGTGTTTTCTTCTTCTCAACAAGTCCAAGATAACGGTATAATAAAAAATAAAACAGCTTAATTGAAGCTTCTAGCCCAGTCTAACGTCTACAGAGACATGATAAAAATACTCAACCATAGATGTGGATACATTTCAATTTAAGAGGCCGTGGTTGACAGATTTCTCACATGAGTAGGTATTCTCTGTTTTGTGTCGATAAAAAATGTGAACGTACGTACCACAGTGTTTCAGTAGATTTGTGCCAGAGTTGCTTCTCAGTGATCTCGCTCTTTGGTGAACTCTTCTCTGTTTCTCTCTCTGATGCTGGGGGTGATAACAACGAGAACGACGGCACAGACAGCACGTCTCCGTCCATGGCTGCACAGATCTTCTCAGAAAGTTTCTAATGAAGTGGCAGAAAAGTTGAACTGTAGCCAGGGCAAAGTTTCCCTTCCCGTATCCTCTGCTCTGTATCTAAGAGAGAGTAAACAGTGTCATCAGTAACGAAAGAGGAAGAAGGCTCTAGACCAAGAGCCACATGACGAGATGTTTAGAGAACAGGAAGTGACATCGGCAGCCTTCTATTCAACAGGGCATTTCCCTCTGTGGTTAATTATCTGAATGTAACACAGGCTTCAGTGTGATCATCGACTCACAGCTTTAACACCGAGTTGAGATTTGACT